GGATTGGAGCAAATTAAATTTAAGAAAAATCGGGAGTTGCTAACTGTTTTGAACATTCAAACCATTTATTGGAACTTGGAATTTTTCTGGTATATATAATTTATGGTTTAATTATATCTAAACAGAAGTATAAGAATAGTAAGTGCTTGTAACCATCGATTCTTGATTTGGAATTAGTTTTTATATATATTTTTTATAAATTCTGTCCAATTTAAGGTGTTTATGGAGGATTGGATTACTACGCTGTGTATTAGCATTTTAAATGATTAAAATGTGATGGTTGGATTCTGTAATAATTCCTATTGACTTGTTATAGGTATTAAATGAAAATTATGCATATAATGGATTATGGTTGATTTGTATCTAATACTGTTTCCGTCAACTGGCTTAGCTGGAGGGGCTATTTGTACAGTCTCTTCATATATGTAAAGAATTGTAATGAGATATCTAAATGTTATATTGGATGCATAAATTGGTTGTATACGTGCTAAACTATGTTTATGCTTATTCTGGGATGTGGTTAATAAATAATTGTACTGTGTTAATAACTACGTGAACTGGAGGATTGTATGTACCGGTATGGGACGGTGACATACTAGGTATGGATTAGTTCAAACACTAAATCCTACCTAATTTGGAATGAGTTGGATTAACCATAAAAAGGTTAAGTCCTACTTATATAGATGTATATATATGAACCGGTATGGGACGGTGTCATATTGGGGATGGCTTAGCTCAAAATACTAAGGCCTATTTAAATTGGACTAAGGTATGGATTAACCATAAAGGTTAAGTCCATCATCTACATGTGTCATATCAATTGTGAATTGAAAGACTTACTATGGTTTCAGGATGGATTTATTATATAGATATCAGACCACTACACAGATGGATGATATTCTATATTAGGAGGAGTACGGACTTTATATATTTATTATATGTGCCATGGTATGAGCCTGAGTCTCAGGACCATGGTTAGGGCGCGTATATCGCCTAGGATGGATAACTGGACATAGGTGTTGTCCCCTGGTAGGTCTAGGTACTCATGCCCACCTTAGGGTGCGTATTTGCATGTTACCTTCTATTCAGGCTGAGACAGACCTACTGGACTAGCGAGCGTCCTATAGTGTGTACTATATATACATATATGGACTACTCTAGATATTGTTGAGTCTTTCTGGGATGTATCTGCGTATCGGATTACTGTTTGGATCGTAGTAGATCAGGACTTGCATGTGGGCCTGACCCACTCTATTATTTTTCAGGTGTTCGACAGTACCAGTCTTAGAGCTGGATCGTGTTGATGCTGATACAGACACTCACTCTTCCAGTTACATAGGATTTCCTTTCTATTTTAAATTTTGAATTTTAATTCTGTAAATTTATTTAGGGATTTGGGATTAGGGGTCCACTAGGTGGATTCCCGAGTTGTACGGTTTTAAATCATATTAATTTATTTATTTCAAGTTTGAGGATTCTTATGTTAGATTTCTTTCAGCGTATTATTAATTTGTTCCTAATTCAGTTTTATTTCTGCTTGTTTACATATTAATTGTTTGGTATCCCTCGAATCTGTGCTCGGACTTGATCACCCGTAGCTCTAGAATCGAGGGGTATCACACTTTACCCCAAAAGGCCTCATACCAATTGGAGATGACACACTTACATATAAGCACTTCACCTTCCTTCTACCTAGGCGATGTGGGACTATGCACCCGTAGCTCGCCAGTGTGGTAGCCTGTCAGTGTCTCTTGCACCGTCCTACGGCAGACCCGCCCACAAGGTCATCACAATCCACCCCCCTTGGAGGCCCGACGTCCCCGTCGGCATACTTCACGCAACTCACAATTATTTTGAGATGGGGGGAGTAATAAAATTACTCGATTAAATTATTAGTAGTTTAGTGTATGGTAATTACTAACTGTCCAATATACTAAATCCTCCACATAGTCCATAAATTGATATAATAAACAACAAATAAATACCAATTTATTCCAAACCAAGCAAAAAGGCCATAACTCGCTGCTCCGAACTCCAAATGACAAACTGTTTGATTCTGTGTTGTCCCTGACAAAACCCCAAAGTTTCGTCCGATTCGGAGCCGTGTTAAGAAACCTAGTTGCCGCCAAACTTGTTCAGGGCATATCTCTCTGCTCGGGACTCGGTTTTTAACGCCGTTTCTTCCGTTGTTCATATTTTCTCATTTTGAATCTTTTTCGTTCACGGAGTTTTGCCATTTGAATGCGTCTGTACTGAAATCACATGCAAGTTCTTTTCTTCCTCTTTCCCGTTAGCTTGTGTCAAACCACCAAAATTTATTTAAAGACATTTTGAAGCAAAAGTTTGATACCAAAAGAGTATAAATACAAAAGTAAACATAATAAATCACGGGTTAAACCCTATGAGCAAGCTCTCTCTACCAAGCCTCTGAAAACCAATAAACAGATCATCTCTGATCAAAACCAAACCTAATAAAGTTTTAACTTTAATATAGCATGATATGCATATATATAAATAATTATATATACTACACTCATCACATCGATTAATAAATTTATTAAATTTATAATTGACTGGATTATTAAATATTGTTTTAGGGGTTCTTGCATTACGGGATTCTCGAGTTGCATTTTTGGAGAAATATTAATGAAATTATTATTTAATAGTTTTCTTCAGCGAGCTATTCATTCTTTTTATTTCTTCTTGTATTTTGTGTTCGTTTAAATACTAAATTGTTTTGATATTCCCTTGTTTCAGTCTTTTTATTTCTTCTTGTATTTTGTTTTCGTTTAAATACTAAATTGTTTTAATATTCCTGTGTTTTCGGGTGTGGGTCTGGCCAACCTACACGTGGAAATTAGGGGGTATCACACTCTTCCATGTGCACAGAAGCAACAAAACTTTGCGAAGGGGAGTCTTGCACGCCAGCCTTGGTCAACCTGCTCAGGCGCTCCCACACCCACCTGAGGAAGCGCAGCATTCATTATACGACCCACACCTCCATCAACGCCATCATGATAGCCCCCAACCTAACCAGTAGAACAATCCCCATTCCTATCCCCAGCCTACATCCGAGAAACATCACCAATAGTAGAAAGCGCACCATCCACCCCAGGCAAAGGCTCCAAAGGCCCCGGATAAGACAGATCACCACGAGGATGACCACCAACTCCACTATCAAACTCCTCCCCCTCCACATAAAGCTCGAGGGTTTTGGTTTGGTGGGGTGGGTCTTTGTGTGTAGTGCTTGGTCTCCTTCTCTAAGAGTGCGGATTTGTTTTAAGAATATTGGATTTTGTGAGATTTATTAATCATATCATGAGTAATGTAGATTTTTTGTGTCATAAAGAGAGAATAAATATGTATTATTAATCTTAACATACTTGAGCAATGATGTATGCTGATTCAATAAAGAAAGTAGTATAATGATAAAAATGTCTTTTTCGTTAAAAACAAACTGTTGACAATGTCATTTTAATACTAATTAAACTTGTCATTTTAATACTTGTACAATCTATCTATTATTACTATTATTTTTTTTTTTTTTTTTTTTTTTTTTTTTTTTTTTTTTAATATAGTATAAGAAAATTTTTGAATAAATTTATAAGATCAATCCAAATTATTCTTTGATGTCTAAAATAGTACATTGGGAGTGAAATAGTGGTTATGCATAATCGACGACTGGCTCAACAATCCAACCCAACTACATATAATGGTAAACTATGGTAGGCTGCAACTTTGGAATAACCGCTCGTTTCATGTAGGGTTCACCATTTTACAGTTGAAAAAAAAAAAAAAAAACTTTGGAATAACGGTTTAATGACTCTTAGCATTGACTAACGAGGCTACGAGCCAGTGTGATGCAGGACACTGATTATGCCAAATGTAATACTCCATATTAAATTGTAATAGTACATAGTAGTTGTCTTCTTTCTTTCCTTTCATTTTTCCAAAAAAAGGTGAGAGAGAGAATGATTATTCAATTGGTGCTGCAAATCGTACTATTGTTGTGGTTAACACTAACAGAAGCATTAGCACCATCACTAGCAAGGCCTGGTTGTCCAGACAAATGCGGAAATATTACCATTCCATACCCATTTGAAGCGAAGTTTCACTAGCGATGACGTTTCTCTCACTAGCATTGCTGGACTATATTTTCTTGGTATCTTATTCTTTATTATTGTTCAAACTTATCAGTCCTAATAATAAAACTATGAAAAGTATGCATTGAAATTTTCATCTACTTTTTAATTCTTGTATTTTGGTTTAAAATTCAATTAATTTGTTATTCTGGGTAGAGTGCTCGGGGGTTTTGGTTTGGTGGGGTGGGTCTTTGGGTGTAGTGCTCGGTCTCCTTCTCTAATGGTGTGGATTTGTTTTAAGAATATTGGATTTTGTGAGATTTATTAATCATTTCATGAGTAATGTAGATTTTTTTGTATGATAAAGAAAGAATAAAGATGTATTATTAATCTTAACATACTTGAGCAATGACGTATGCAACTGATTCAATAAAGAAAGGAGTATAATGATAAAAAAAAAAAAAAAAAATGTGTTTTTCGTTAAAAACAAACTGTTGTCAATTGTAACAAGAGTATTTTTAGCAATTTTTTTAAAAGTTTAATCTAAAAAAAAAAAAAAAATTCGTATTTACCTGATAAAATAAATAAAGAAGAAATAATATTAAAAAACAGTCTTTTCAAAGACAAAAAACATAACAAGAGAATACCAAAACGTTCATGTCAATATCATTCATCAACTTAAATTTATTGCAAGGTTTTATCAAATTTGACAATAGGGTGACTTTAAATATGTTTGTGTGTTATTTATCTCTCATTTTGAGAAGCATAATGGACGACTGGCTCCAATAATCAATGATCAATATTCCAACCCAAGTACAAGACTGGTTCCAGTGCACCCATCAAGGAAGGGTGAAATTTCAGACATCCAGCATCCCTAAGGGTTGCTTGAATACAAGCATCCGGTAAACTATTTGTAGGCTGCAACTTTAGAATAACGGTTTAATGACTCTGGCATTGACTTGACTAATGAGGCAATGACTAATAGTAGTACATAATAGTAGTCGTCTTCTTTCTTTGCTTTCATTCTTCCAAAAACAGAAAAAGATGAGAGAGAGAATGATTATTGAATTGGTGCTGCAAATCGCACTATTGTTGTGGCTAACACTAACAGAAGCATTAGCAGCATCACTAGCAAAGCCTGGTTGTCCAGACAAATGCGGAAATATTACCATTCCATACCCATTTGGTATTGGACCCAATTGTTTTGTTGATGTTAAGCCCTATTACTCGTTTGAGATAATCTGCAACAAATCTTTCACCCCACCCAAACCATTCATCACTGGCGTTGACCTTGAGGTGCTTGAAATCTTTCACCCCACCCAAACTGTTCGTGTCAACAACCCGGTAATCACTTCTAATTGTGGTAACAGGGTTAATAATCAACTTGTGAACTTGAATGATACTCCTTTTTACTTCTCAGACACCTACACCCGACTCACGGTCATGGGTTGTGACAACCTCGCCTTAATCACCGACCAAGATAAGGTTATAGGGGGCTGCATGTCCATCTGCAGTGGTAATTCAAAAAGTGAAGGTTGCTATGGCATCGACTGCTGCCAAACCACAATCCCTCCACCTCCATCATCTGACACAATCAATGCATCTTTCAGAAACATAGATTTAAACAATGATACAAAAGGGTGCAAATATGCGTTAATGGTGGACCAAGAATGGTTCACTAACCTGACCAACCCCTATGTCGTGCGGGAAATGGATAAGGTCCCTGTTGTGCTGAGTTGGGGTACATATAAGGGATGCAATACATTCGATTACTACATTTCTACTGCTTCTAATAGTTCATTATGCGGCACTAATGCTTCCTGCAGTTTTAATCAAAGCTCAATCTACGAACTATGCCAATGTGACCACGGCTATGAAGGAAACCCGTATTTGCCTCATGGATGCCAAGGTAAAGTTCTGCAATTAATAAATTTTAAGTTTAGTTTTGCAATACTTGAGTTTATCTTCATCACCAAGAACAGCAAACGCCCTAGCCACTTGTCTATATTAAATTTTAGGATAAATTACACTGACCTCTCTTGAAATTTGAGAGAACCAACAGGCAATTCAGATTTCAGATACAACAGTCAGGAGCAGATACTCTGACTCTTCATGAGATGGTGCTGGTGATCATGAAGGTGGAAGTGGAAATTATGTTGCTGATAATTCTGATGAATGTAGGGATTGTGATGGTGAATGATGTTAGAGAAAGAAAGAAGTGGATGAGAGGAGATTTTAGAGATGTAAAAATAGGTAAGGAGATGTTAGATTTTAGGGTTTAGGAAAGGAAGAGGAAGCTGACGGCAGCGTTGGCAAAGGAGTGGGTGGGGAAAGTACAAGAAGTTGAAGGGAGAAATAGATTAATATTAATTTATTTAAATATAATAAATTTGTATGTCGATTATATATATATATATATATATATATATATATATATATATATATATTAAATTAATTCAATTTAATTAGCAAAAAAAAAAAAAAAAAACTATAATTTTTTTAGGTAAAGTCCATACAATTACTCCAGTATATGAGTATATATATATATATATATATGTATTGACGTAGATTACATAGAATTGTAAGGTAATTAATGTCTTCTTGCATAATATAAGGGTAGTGTAGGTACTATACAAATATTTTTAACTATTGATGGAGGGGGTAGGTGGTTGAGCACACACACCAAATCTCAAAGGAGATCAAAGTAATAAACTCCAGATGCTCTATTAGCGTGTAATTTGACAAATTAAACCATAGGAGATAAAGTGTAATTTATCCTAGTTTTAGCAATATGTACACAAGTTATAATCTGTTGTCACTCTTCTGTGTATGCCTCGAGTATGTAGTAGTCCTGTGCAGGTGTGCAGACAAACATGTTAATAACTTATTTTGTTTGATTTTGCATGTCAGATATCGATGAATGTGAGAGAAATGATACCCATACCTGTGAGAAAATCTGTGAGAATACGCCAGGGAGTTACAAGTGTCATTGTCCACCTGGATACTCACCTTTTGGACCCCATGGAAGGTATTGCTATAAACTGAAGGAAGGCAACAGAAATGTGATCATTATCGCAGGTACAAACAACTCCCCAAGCCCGGCGATTCGGTTTGCGTCCATATAAAAAAGAACTAAATTTTGAGCCAAAATGAAAAAGAAGAAAAAGAATAATAGACGCACACACTAGATTTTTAAATCTGTCAGATATTGATGAATGTAAGAGGAATAATACCAATCACTGTCACATGAACTGTAAGAATACGCCAGGGAGTTACAAGTGCCATTGTCCACCTAGGTACTCACCTCTATTTCCCGACGAAAGTTATTGCTATAAACTGAAGGAAGGTAACAGACATGTGATCATTATCGCAGGTACAAACAACTACCCACGCCCCATCAATTCGGTTTGAGTCCATATAAAAAATATCTAAATATTGAGCCAAAATGAAGGAGAAGAAAATAAATAACAGACACACACACACTAGATTTTTAAATCTGTCAACATGATTTTTTAAGCTCTACAACTACTATAGATAGGAACAGGCTATACAGTAAACAAGTGTAGGGAAGCTATAAAAATTTCCATTTACACTATAGGTATATGAAAATTTCAAAGTCCAATATACAAAAATATATTTACACTATAGTTCTTTAGGATGTGTATTAAAAGTGGTACACTTACGTATTCAAAGTAGTTCTTTTATGTACTAGAAGTAGTGTGCATTAGTATTAAATATGTGAGATGGTGAACAATGATTTTATATGATTATAAATGCTTTACAAGACTTGTCATTTATACACATTGAACTTTGAGTTTTTATATAATTGTAATTAAACATCATAATTGAATATTTGGACTATTAGCTATACAATTATTTTTCACTCGAGCATAAAAATTTTATATTGAAAAGGTGATTCTTTCCTATTGAGTTTTGCAGGTAGTAGCACGGGTCTTGGAATACTATTTTTACTTATTGGTACATGGTGGATGATTAAACTAGTGAAAAGAAGAAGGGAAATTAAGCTGAAGGAAAAATTCTTTAAACGAAATGGGGGATTGTTACTGCAACAACAATTGTCTTCAGGTGATAGTAATGTTGAGAAAACCAAACTCTTCACTTCAAAAGAGTTGGAAAATGCAACTGACCACTTTAATGAGAATCGAATACTAGGTCAAGGAGGCCAAGGTACTGTTTACAAAGGCATGTTAATAGATGGTAAGATTGTAGCAGTTAAGAAGTCCAAAATAGTGGATGAAGGCCAACTTGAGCAATTTATTAATGAGGTGGTTATTTTATCACAAATTATCCATAGAAATATAGTCAAGCTACATGGATGTTGTTTGGAAACTGAAGTACCTTTGCTTGTTTATGAATTCATCCCTAATGGAACCCTTTTCCAGTATATCCATGACCAAAATGAAGACTTTCCTCTTTCCTGGGACATTCGTGTTCAGATTGCTATAGAAGTTGCAGGAGCTCTTTCCTATCTACACTCAGCAGCTTCCATACCCATTTATCATCGAGACATCAAGTCCACAAACATATTGTTGGATGATAAATACAGAGCAAAAGTGTCCGACTTTGGGACTTCAAGATCAATTGCGGGTGATCAAACTCACTTGACCACAAAAGTACAAGGGACCTTTGGATACTTGGATCCTGAGTACTTCCAATCAAGCCAGTTTACCGATAAAAGTGATGTTTATAGCTTTGGAGTAGTTCTTGTTGAGCTCTTAACAGGACAAAAGGCGATCTCATCAGCCAAATCTGAAGAATGGCAAAGTTTAGCAGCATATTTTATATTGACGATGAAGGAGAATCGTCTGTTTGATATTCTTGATGCTCGAGTTGTGAAAGAAGGTGTGAAAGGAGAGATCATGCGAGTCGCTAATCTTGCAAAACAATGCTTGAACTTGAATAGGAGAAAAAGGCCTACAATGAAAGAAGTCGCAATAGAGTTGGAAGCAATTAGAATGACACATGGAGCATCCACTATTCAACAAAACTATAAAGAGGTTGAATTTGTGGTAGCTGGCCTCATTAGGCGTGCTGCTTCAACTTCGACAAGCTTTTATCAAGATAGTAGTGTATCATCATCGTCAGATGTCGAATATCTATTATCAAAGTAAATATGGTGGTTGAGGTTTTGTTTTTTCCGTATATTACAAGTCCTTCTTTGAATAATAGTGTATAAGCACTGAAAGATGTTCCTACTTCTAGTGTATAAGAAATCATGATCAGCAAGAAAATTTTACTGTCCTCTATATTATTTTCCATCTTGTGTAAGCTAATCATGATAAGAAATATGCTTAACATATGTTTCTTTGAAGTATTTATGGATATCATTTTGCATCTAAACTTAAATTCTATACGATGCTTTTTTTATTGGTTGAATATGATACATCTCTTCTATTGTTTTCGTGGTCTAGTTGCAAACTGTCCATTCTTAATAAGAATTGATGAATTCTCTTATTGGAGATCCCTATATAGACCAATATAGTCGACACAATACAGATGCACCAAATTCTACTAGTTCAGTATCAACCACCCAAAGAAGATGGTCCAAAGATATGCTTCATTTGGCTATATCTATGAAAAAAAATATATAATGATTATTAAGAACTTAACAAGATCTTTCTCCTCAAATTAGACAAACAAAGAAGGGAATCCCTTTGAGTTCTTCTGCTTTCATTTATCTATGTTTATTTTCCTGTCAAATGATTATCAAGCTACTCCCTAGGCCCTTGTATATCAGCAAGAGATAGGTGATACAAAAGAATAAGCTCAAAATCAACATTTATTCTGAGATAAACTCTCTTCTATAAGACTTTAGCTATAATGATCCTACATCAACTCAATTTAAAAAGTCAACATCCTAAAAACTGAATCTTAAATTCCCATTGTTTGGGTCTCCATTATAGATTAAAATCTTAGGGCAGTTGAAAAATACATGCAGATTTAGTTACAATTGGGATCCATGCATGCATATTAATATATACACATAAATTTCTTTATAAAGCACAATTTTTTATCTAAAGAGATGAAATATATATAGAAAAAACAGTTATAAACATACAATTAATGGTTCCAAAGAGAAATTGATAAAATAAGCTGCTGATTTCTTACTAACCTAAAATTCAGAAGAGTGATACAAAGTAGAGTTGTATTCACTGGAACAGAACTCAATAGTTAGAGGTAAAACTGAATGCAAAAGGGAGATGAGAGAACAGAGATAATTTACACCAAAAAAAATTTAGACTGTGCCATCCTTTGAGAAATACTTTTTTGCACCTTATTACATTGGGTGCATCCAACTATTCATTACCATGCCTCTAATATATGAATGGTCCAAATGCTCCCATTACAAGGCGAGCAAGTAAAATTTTCTCCTTTCATAGGAGCCAGGCTATTTTTCTATGCAATGGGACAAACGTGTAAGCAATGTGGGAATAAGTCCAACAACACTTTATTACTATACTTGTAAACTGACCAGATTCAGTTTACAAGATTCGGCTATGATTCGAATCTCTATCTGATTCAATAATTTGAGAAATAATTTATTAAAAAATATTTGATTGTTATGGTCTTTTTTTAAAGAAAAAAAAATACTGCAGTAATGTCAAAGGAGATTGGCAAACAAAGAGACAAAATAAAAAATTAGATCTTTAATTTACTATTTGATAAAGAAGAGAGAGAGACTAAAATAAGAATAAAAGCATATTGTATATTACGTATTATATTCGGTCAGATCTAATTGATTCGGATTCATTTAGCTAACAGGAATTCGGATCAAATGTCTATCAAATTAAATCTTAAAGAGTTTTTATTTTTTTATTTTTTTATTTTTTGTAAACAGAACCAAACCAGAAACAAACACTAACAACTGTCCTTGGCTGCTAAATGAAGAATATCAGCACAAAGATAACCAAGAGCAGTATCCATAACAATGTGAGAATGAGAGAGCTTCGCCAGAGCATGTGCGACCTCATTGCCAGTTCTATGGACATGGCTAAGATGAGATGATGAGAATCGCCGAAACACCACCCAAATATCAAAGCAAATTGTGTGAACATCAGTCGAACCAGAATCAACTCCCAAGACAGCATGAACCACAACCAAAGAATCACATTCAAACCAAACATGATGAAAAGAACATGATAGAGCCCAAATCACTGTTTTACGAAGACATAAGGCTTCAGCAACGGTTGCAGAAACAGCAGGGAAAGGAGAAAAAATCACCGCTTGCAAAATATTCCCCATACAGTCACGAAAACAACTCCACCACCCCCCACCTGTGAAGAAGAGAGGAATGATGCATCAACATTACACTTAACCATACCATCGTTCGGAGGCAACCATCGGGAAGGAGACGGATAGGAATAAGAAAATCCAGAAACCGATAAACCCAGAACAAAAGCTGGTTCTAAGGAAAGATGAGTTATTTTTATACTCCCAGAACTGGGAAAAAGTGGTCGGTCGCTAGGCCATAAGTTTAAGAGTGTGCATTGAGGAGAGGGCCAAGAGTTTTAGATTTATAAGCCACTACTACCTTCACTAAAAATATAGCTAGGGTGAGTAGGGATCGTCCTAAGGGATTGTGGGGGCAACAAGGTTGTGGAATTGTGATTAGGGTTCGTAGGTCGAGTGATCAAACAATTGGTTGGTTGGTTGTTTAAACTAGAGAGCAACTAAATTAAGTGATATCAAAATAATGTAATTAAGAGTAAACAAGAGAGAGAAGAGTCTTAGAGTTTAGAGATCACCACCAAACAATGCATTTCTATACCATTAACAAATGACTAATGAGGGCAAATGGTGTGTTGCAATATTGGTGTGTGTGTGTGTGTATTTGGTTGATTCAATAAGCAAGGATGGCCAATTAAGCATGTAATGCCTAAGCATCATGTGAAAGGCACAATATATCAAGCAATAAAACATATATTATCTAAACAACGTGTGTGTAGCACAATAGATCAAAACAAGTCATTAACCTTTCATTAAGCTCACACTCCTAATACACCACAAGGTTAGAGATATATGATACTTACATTCAAAAGCATGGAATATCAAACAATAAGTATGGATTGTCCTTTCATCTAACATCTACACTACACTACACTACAACTACACTACTAGCATGGAATTAAACTAAGGAAGAGCCACAATCCATCAAGAAATAGTATGGACCATCAAGAAAATAGCAAGAGCATTCCATTAAGCACTATGTTTTGACAATCTCTAGATCTATAGCATCAATACATATAAACATGCATCAACAACACAAAATCTAGAGATAAGCACACGAATATCTATTATAGCATACATAGACATATGGATAGAATGAAATGATCAATTGAAAGCATTAAACCACATAAATCATTGAATAAACAAGATCTATGTATATCAAAGTGTCAAAACATGTATTATAACACTAATCCCTCAATAATACACAAGATTAAGATATAGAAAGCATGCTTGGGGCTAACTCTAGCCCCAAGAGGATGTCTAGCCACTCATGGTAGTGCTTCTCCAACCCTCAAGGGCAAGCTCTATGGTTGATGAAATCTGCTCCTTGTTGATGAAGAACCTCTAATGGTGTTTCTAGCCTATATATAGGTAGGTCAAGTGACACACAAAATAGGCTGGGGTCATACACACAATATTCCCCAATGATTGGATACAAGACAACTTGAATGAGCTGGCTTTTTCACTTTTTCCCACTGGAGGAAAGTTCGATCGATCGAACCTTGGACCTGGATCGATCGAACTTGGCTGAGATCTATCGAACTAAGGCTGGATCGATCCAACTAGCTGAGCTTTTTCGGATAAAAACAGAGCTGAGATATTTTGGAGATATTTATGGGGAAAATGACAAAAGTGGTAGGTAAGGTGGTACAAATGGATAAGATCAATCATTTGGATGAGGACAAAGGTGTTCAATCGATCGAAGGATGGTGTTGGATCAATAGAACTTAGGGCTTTCTACTTTCGGTTCAGGGCTTGGATCTATCTTGGAATGCTGAGATTGATCCATGTTGGATCGATCGAACCTTCATCTTAGATCGATCGAACCTTCATCTTAGATCGATCGAAAATCTGAATTCCACCCTTTGCTCCTTTTGCTTCTTTCTTTTTCCACTATGCTCCTTCCTTTGTTTAATCTTGGAATTGCTTCTTTTAAGCTTTTATTTAGCTGAGTTAGCTTATTTTTGGGATAAGTGCCTGAAAACGGAAATAACACAAAATCAATCTAAAACGGTAAAGTAAGATAGAGAAAGGTACTTGTATACCTAAGCTTAACGGGTTTAAATACGCACTTTTCAGTACTCATCACACCCCCAAACTTAAATATTGCTAGTCCCTAGCAATGAACTATAAAGTAAAGAAATGAAATGAACAACTATACAAGTATAAACTAAAAAGCAATAAAATGATAACGCCACTTTCGTAGGGAACACGATTGCACTTAGCACATGCAACAAGCCTTTTAAACCCCAATGTTACCCCTAGTGGACAAGTGAAGTCTCGTGAGGGTTTCCAGAAATGATACCCACAAACATTAAGCTCATTCTTTCTAAAGAGGTACCAATATTGCAAACAAGCATTGGGAGAAAACTACCTCAAGTATGCAATTTTTCAAACATTTCCAACCAATCTCCTAAAATCTCAACATCAAGCAAGCAAGTATGGTCCTTCACACATCAAGAAAATAATCATGCAAATCAAAATAACTCTAGAATCCTTTTTGAGTGGACCGGCATCAATGTGTTGCTATCTTAGCCAACTAAGGAATTAATCACATCCTTACCCTCAAACTAGCACACAAATCTAATACCGATCATCAAGACAAATAGTGGACCTTTTATTAAAGCTTTATTGTTCTAGGTGCGCTTATTCTTTCCACTCGATATTTTTTATTTATTTTATTTTATTTTAATTTTTTATAGGATCAAAGATGGAAGCATAGTGCAATGTGTTGATCTATTAAGCTTTCTAGCGATTTATGAGGTCGAGAGTTAGGTCAATGACTTCCAAACCAGACGGCTTTAGGGCATTAGGCATTCAAATACCCCTATGGACTTACAATCTCAAATCAACTAGGCTATAAATCAAGACAACCTCCATCCAATCATTTCCCACTTCTCACCTTTTGGGAGAAATCCTCACTTTTTATTGCTTTTGCAACTTTTCTTTCTTTCTTTCTTTCTTTCTTCTCTTTTTTTTTTTTTTTTTTTTTTTTTTTAACCTAGAGTTTGGGCCCTCC